ATATATATTTTTAATTTTAATTCTCCTTCATCTCATTACTGTAATGAAATTTTGCATACTCCTGTGGTGGAAATGCCTTGATATAAATAAATCAACATTATAACTCAGCATAATTCCACATCTCCTGAACTACAATCCCTTTCAATTCTGAACAAGGAATACACTTTGTTTAAAGAATGTACTTGTATCCTACTACATGCATAAATCTCAGCTTACCAAGTTTCACAAGTCATAATAACAAAATGTGAGTTAAGATTTAAGATTTCCTTTATTATTATTTTGTGTATTATTATATAGACAGCTGGAAATAAGATATCACAGCATTGTGTTCACACTTGTTCCCAATTACTTACTCTCTCTTGAAACATCCTGGGTACTTCATTATTGTTCTGTGTCAGGGGTCGGTCTAAGAATGGTTTTTACATTTTTAAATGATTGGGGGTTAAATCAAAAGAAAAATAAATATTTTATGACACACAAAATTCAAATTTCAGCGTCCATACAAAAAGTTTTATTGGAACAAAACAATTCTCATTTATTTGGTATTGTCTAACACTGTTTTCACACTACAAATACAGAGGAAAAGTATGAGCCTCAAAGCAGAAAATACAGCTTACCTGGTTCTTTACAGGAAAGGTTTGCCAACCCCTATTCTGTATCATAGTACATGACCTACATAATTTTATATTTTTATCTAAACATTCTCTCACCTTTCCTTCCATATTCAGCATAAAATCTTAATAATCAGTCTCCAGGCAAAAACATTCTTAACAGACCTTTGAAATACACTTCCTCCTCAGAATGGTCACCTACAAACAGGAAGCCAGAATGGAATGCTAGCAACACCTTAAAAGTTACAAATGAACAAATCAAAACCAGAACCAAACCTCACCATCATCACCCACCCTCCAAAGCAAAGCTAAAGTGGATGACCCCCCAGTTAGTGGCTTTCAAACTACCCTATCTTAGAACTGAGGTGTTTTGGGCACCTGGGTGGCTCAGTTGGTTAGGCTTCTGCCTTCCGCTGGAGTCATGATCCTGGGGTCCTGGGATCGAGTCCCTCATGGGGCTCCCTGCTCAGCTGGGAGTCTGCTTCTCCCTCTCCCTTTGCCCTGCTCCTGATCTCTCTCTCACACATGCTCTCTCAAATAAATATATAAAATCTTTAAAAAAAAAAAATTGAGGCGTTTTGTAAAACAAATTTTACCACTGCTAAAATTCCTAACAGTCAAATAACAATGAGAAAAAAAAAAATAAACGTAATTTTCCCAAGTTTAATCCTCTTCAAATCATTGGCTACCAGAAAAAAAAAAAGGGCAAGGAGACCAATTATATTAGTATGCCTGATCCTAAATCCCTGTACCTCACACATTTGGTATTTTCTGCAAGTAGTTTCTGGCTCCCAGGATGAAAGGTTAAATACTGCACTGTGTTTATAAACAACATCACAACTTACACAGGAACAAGATGGGCCATTGGGCCATTTCCTCCTAGAAATGGGTACACTAAAATCTGCTCATGTCTTTCATTCTGCATGCCAAGTGTTGTGGGAGAGAAGGTGTGGGATAAGCTGCCTTTTCCATGAACAATATCAGACACTCCTAGCACTAACTCCTCCCCAGTCTCATCACACCTCTACCCTGCACTAGGTCCTCCCCAGCTCCATCACCTCTGTTCAGCACCACCTCCCTATTTCAACACACTTCTTTGAGCAGGCTCTTCCTCCAAAGTCACAGGCCTGCAAAGCTTCCAGCAGCAGAAGAGGAAAGCAGGGAGGCTATAATGCAAAAGTCTGAGTCCCCACACAAGCATCATCTGTTCTTTGGGACAATCTCAAGTCAGAGCCCGCAAAGTGGGAAGAATGGGCGTTAGCTAGCACCCACTTTAACAGCTTGCCTGCGGTGGGGGCCGGGTGAGAAGTTGAGGATAAAAAGGTGAGCAGCAGAATGGCAGGACTTCCACTCCACCGGGGAAGATAAACAATGTCTTTAAGCCCTCTTGGCGAGGGTAGGGCGAGGAGCATTTAAAGCCCACGGCAGGGAGAACTTACCTAATCCTGGAATGTTAAAAGGCTAAAACTCAAACAGTCGGAAGTGACGTGCCAGCTGAGACCCGCAGGTCCGCCACGTAACTGGCCGCCTCAGCTCGCCACCTTCTCTCTGGACTGGCCTGAAGAGAGGATAAGTGTAGCTCAAAGTCCGCAACCGCCCTTGCCCTGCCCCCAGCGGCTCCCGGCCGCAGCCAGGACCAGCAAGCGCGGCCACAGCCGGGCCCCGGAGCCTGGCGGAGCAGCCTCCGTCTCTGGTGCCCGTCGGCGCCCTGCGGGCAATGGGGCTTCAGCGCTCAACCAAGCGCATGCGCGGCCCTCTTTCTCCAGAGGATTCCTCCGGTCACCTGGACGACCACATTTCAGACACCTGCCCCTCCCGGTCCCTTCTCGCTCTTGACTCCTCCAGCTGGTTCTCACCTCTGGCCCCCCTCCTTCTCCTCCCGCAAGCACCGCTAGGCCTTCCCACGGCAGCGAGCCGACACCCGGGCTTCCACTGACACGAGCTTCTCCGCGCGGCTTCCGCTTCCGGCGAGTATTGTGTGTCGCGCTGCGGGGCGGGGGCGGGGGGAGGAGGAAGGAGGGAGGCAGCGCTCCGGCGGCTCCGCGCCCCGCACTCCCGGACCTGAAGCCGGGAAGGTAGGTGCTGTCCCGCCGCCGCGCCCGGGCCCTGGGGCCTGCCCCTGCCGGCCGGCTCCGCACGCCGCGTCCCAGCGCCCCGCGACTGCGTCACCGGCCCCCCGCACGTAACCACAGCTGCCTCCGCCCGCCTCGGGCCCGGGCGGACGTTTTGCCGCCCCGGCGACGTCAGCGCGTCCGGCGTTGCTTGGCTACCCCGCCGTTCCCCCGTCCCGCTGCCGCTCGCCTCCCCGGGTGAAACTCTGACGCCGTCACCGCGGGCCTCGGCTGCGTCATAGCGGCGGGCATCCCACCTTCACGTCACACCTCCTCCTCACCTGGACACGCATTCCTCCCTCCCTGTCAACCACGACGTTTCCTCTCCCCCTCTCCAATCCCCCTTACGCCAGATCTGGCGAGAGAAGATGGAGACGAGGGTGGGACTGAGTTGTGGACGACGCTCAGGAGAGGGTCGCAAGGTGGGACCCCGGACAGTGGTAGAAACAAAATGAGGACGTCCCTGAAGTTTGCCCTTCTACTGAGACACGAGGAATAGAGGGAAAGAAATGACCAACCCAGAGGCACCCGAGGCCTCACTATGGCTGTAAAGTCCTCTCTCTGCTTTCCTAACCTTTTCCCCATTTCTCTTTCACACCACTTCTTTGCCAGTCTAGATCCATCCTGGTCCCTAAATCTGCGTACAGTTCAACTCACCCCAGGTGAGGAGGCCACCTTATTTCTAGAAGAAAGGGGCAGGTTCACTAGTCAAAGTTGGTTTCCCTTCGGTGAAGAAGAATCATCTGACTGAACTTCTCTCCTGGTTGAGGGAAGAATTCAGGTCCAAATAAATTATGAGCTCCTACTCCAAATTAAAACACTTTTCATGTGTGCCATCAGTATATACAATAATCATTGTTAACCCAACTCATTACATGGCCACTTATCTCATAGCACTTAGACCTACCAAATTTCCTTTCTTCTGTTGGGTCCCTTGGTATGGAGGGGAAAGGGGGTGGATAGAGAAATCAACTATTTCATGGATAAAAGTGTGATTTTTTTAAGGAAGGAGTGGGGGACCAGCTTTCTGCTTTATAAATCCCTTTGATGCATTTCCAGTATTTTGAGCCTTCATTTGAGAGAGACTTTGATTGACTCTTTACTTTTTTTTCTCTAAATCCCAACCACTCCAGAACCTATTAGTTGGAGGCACAGTACCTCCAAGGAATTAGTTTTCAGTAGCTATTTCAAAAGACTCCGGTCACTGCTGAATATTTAGAAAAGACTTGTCAGCACTCTTTTCAAGAGCATACATTTTTCGAGAAGTATATACTAATAAACTTTTTAGTGTAGTTGCCACATATTTATCACTTTTCAGCAGTTCCAAATGTCCAAATGCACACAAAGAAACGGGATGTTGTGTGAATCATTTCATTCCAAGAAGGCACACTTCCTCTAGACTAGTCTGATGCAAGAAAGAATAATTTCAAATTTTCCTGAAAAGAGCTTGTTACTCTTGCCTAACTTACTCCTTTTCTTACCCTTTGAAAGAGTGACAGAACAGTGGCAGAGAAGCTTATGCTTCAAAGAGCTATTGTAATAAAAATTTTTCTGTAATATTAAACTTTAAAATATACTTAAGAAATCTTAATATTTTGACTTTTATGGCACTTTCCAGTTTCCCAAGCTCCTTTCTTATCTATTAGAAAAATATGTCAAACTAGGGATACATTGGTCTGTTTTTAAGATACATGTGGGATAAGTCTGGATTAGGAAAAGTATGCTGGACTAGAGTTGAAGGAAGCCTCTAATGAGAAAGCAGAGGTAAAGACAAAAGAGATTGGTGGTTGGGTGTCAGTGTGCTGAGGAGGAAAAAAAAAAAAAATAGATTGATGGCTGGGAGTCACAGGTTTTGGAAACAGAAACAAAAAAGAGGTTGAGGGGGACCTGGATGGCTCAGTGGGTTAGGTGTCCAACTCTTGACCTTGGTTCAGGTCTCGTTCTCAGGGTCCTGAGTTCAGGCCCTGTTTTGGGCTCCACACTGGGCATGGAGCCTACTTTAAAAAAAAAAAAAAGGTTGAATCTAGTGGAAGAGAAGATGTAAAATACCAAAATAGGGCTAACTGAAGTTAGGATTTATCATGGGAGTAAATGTCAGGCCAGGGGTACAAAAAAATTAAACCTCCAACTAATATTTTTCTCTCTCTGCCCCCTTTCCATCCCTAAGTTAAATAATGGCAGAGACAAGTCTGTTAGATGCTGGGGCCTCTGCAGCCTCCACAGCTGCAGCGCTGGAGAACTTACAGGTGGAGGCGAGTTGCTCTGTGTGCCTGGAGTATCTGAAGGAGCCTGTCATCATTGAGTGTGGACACAACTTCTGCAAAGCTTGCATCACCCGTTGGTGGGAGGACCTAGAGAGGGACTTCCCTTGTCCTGTGTGTCGAAAAACATCCCGCTACCGCAGTCTCCGACCTAATCGACAACTAGGCAGTATGGTGGAAATTGCCAAGCAGCTCCAGGCTGTTAAGCGGAAGATCCGAGATGAAAGCCTCTGTCCCCAGCACCATGAGGCCCTCAGCCTCTTTTGCTATGAGGACCAGGAGGCTGTATGTTTGATATGTGCAATTTCCCACACCCACCGGGCCCACACCGTCGTGCCACTGGATGATGCCACACAGGAGTACAAGGTGGGGAACCAGACACATGATGCCAAGGTGGGGCAAGAGAGAGGAGCACAGAGGATGGCAGACTGCCTGGGTAGAGGATCCTAAGCTGAGGGCAAGACTGTATCTGGTCCTTACTCTCTAGTCACCTCAGAGCTATATACACAGAGGGCACACTACATCTGATCAGTTATCCTCAAGCATAAAGAAGAGCAGTTTTGAGGAGCGCCTCAAAATTGCTTTCTGACTTTTCCTAACATCATTTGAGTCTTATGGGTGAATATTGCTTTGTGTGGTCTTATAATGTATCATTTTTTATAAATGAATGAAACCACTTGGAGATGGTCAAACTTAGGAGGAACTGAAAAGTGGTCTGATTTCGGTCTGTCCCCCTGCTCAGAATGTTCCTTATTTTCCCATCGGTATTGGGAATACATAACATTAGTTTAGACTGATCCCCACCAGACTAAGCTGAACTTGTCTGCCATTTGTATCTGGCTAGATAATAGATAATGTGGCATCGGATTTAATTACTGTTGGGACACAGGGTAAATGTTCGAGTAATAGGAACTAAAGATTTTAATATCTTAGCACTGATCAAGTATTTTGTTTAATTATGTTAAAATCTTGGACACAAGATTTAAAGTTGTTTACAGTATAAGTAATAAAGACTTTATTATATTTGTAGGTGGTTTGAGTTGGATGGGAGGACAAGTGTAAAGAAGGATATCTGAGTACAGAAAGTCACTTTGACCATAATAGGCAGTCACTTGAGTAAGAAAATGATAGGATTGGGAAAGGACACGGAGTTGGTGACAGCTGGACAACTGTGAGATTCAGTGAGAGGAAAGTTTGGAGAGCAAGGAAGATGATGGGGACAGGCTGGCAGCAGGAGGAAGGACCAGAAATTGACACCCCAAATGACAGGCAAGGAAGGGAGTGGGATCAAGAGGTGATGAGATGGATAGGAAGCAAATAAATGGTTTAAAATAAATGGGTTAACCTCTGAATGTAGGATGTACCAGGCAACCCTAAATGCCACCTCTCCCACTTCCCACCCTCAGGAAAAATTGCAGAAGTGCCTGGAGCCCCTGGAGCAGAAGCTGCAGGAGATCACCCGCTGCAAGTCCTCTGAGGAGAAGAAGCCTGGAGAGCTCAAGGTAAAGGCAGATGATTCCATTTGGGCTGCTCTGCAGGCAGTTAACCACACATTAACCACACATTCTTTAATCCACCAGTTCTGATTCATTCGAAAAATGCTGTTCTCTCAAAAACAATGGTATTTTATTAGGCTTCTTTGTCATTATACATTGTACTTAAATTATTTGCAATGATTTAAGTATTGAAGAGAAGGATGTAGGAAGTGAAGGAAGGGCAGACAGCATCTTACGTGTGGCAAGTTGAGGGAGTTCACGCCCATTGGTCTCCTTTTTTCTTGTAAAGCAGGGAGAGAGCAGGGATAGGAGTTTCTTAGAGAGACTGAGGAGAGAAGAATTTGGAAAGGTTCACTGGGGAGAAAGAAAGAAGAAGCTAACAAAAGAGCTCCCAGAACTTCCCAGTGACTTTAGGACCACATTCTCTTAAGTAAGTTCAGGTATGCTAGATGATGTTGGTTCTCCTAGACTGTTGCTCTCTCCATCCTACATCTATAGGATCCTATCTATCCTTCATGCAGGATAAAAGCCACTTCCTATACAGCCTTCCTTGACCCTTCAGAAATTAACTTTCTTAATTTGCATATAATTTTGCTTCTCTTTCATATCATTACCATATTTGTCGCATGAGATTTTGGTATCTGTCTTATTTTATTGGACAGTGAACAATTCTTAATAGTGGCAATAATAACTAAGTATTTATTGAGTCCCGTGTATGAATTCATTGGGTGCCATGACATTCCAAACTTACAGGGTTGCATTAGGTTTTAAGGTTCTGCCCAGGTTAGAGTTCTAAGAGTTCAGGCCAATGAACATGTGGGACCTAGAGGAGCTGTAAGACAAAGGAAAGGGAGTCCTGGAGGTCATCTTTAGCAAAGATGAACTTAGATACCTTGTAAAGTGGGTATTATTACCCTCAATTATCACAGGAGGAAACAACTTGAATAAGTATCTAGTCCAAGATCACACAGCTAATATGTAGCAAAATCAGGGATACTAGCTCTGCATGAATCCATAAGTATGTATTAAGCTTCCAGTATAGGCCAAATTCTGACACTGGGGAACAATGATGAGCAAGAACACAGTCCCTGTCCTACTTGAGCTTACAGTCCGGTGGAGAAAATAGATAATGACATGGCACGAAAGTACAGTTGCAAATTCATAAGACAACATAGAAATTTGACCTCATTAAAAGCTTCCAGAAGAAATAATGAATTTTTGGAGTTGAGATTTAGGGATCACCAGAAATTAAACACAAGTTTGAAAATAGTAGAAACACTAATTTTTTAACAATAACAACATTTTGATAGAAAGCAAGTATTATTAAGTATTACTAAGTACTACCTTAGTCCTTTATATATTTGAATAAAGCAAGCATTTGAATTTTTTTAAATTATAACTAATTTTGATTGCAAAGGTGAACTTTAAAAAAAAGTTCTTTGTTCTTTTGGAGGGCTCCTGAGAAACTTAAAATATGTGAAAACGAAGCTTATTCCCAGTCATTAACTTTCCTGTTCCTGTTGATCACCTTCTTAAAGGTAAAGGATAAAGAGGGGAATAAAAATTTTTTAAAACCTTCTAAATGCTTGAACAGATCTGTGGTGTTTTTAAAAATTCAGTGGTCTCTGAAACTACCACCAACATTCCTTTTGTGACCATTTAAATTCTCCTTCCTACCTCTCCCTCATCCCTACTTCCAAAATCAGACCCAGTGCCCCTTTTAAACATAATTAGTAATTAAGCATGCTGAAGGGAAAATTATAGATAAAATAACTTCCCTGCATAATTTTAAAAAGAGACTTATGCTCAAATACACACACACACACAACATAAAGGAAAGTGATTTATATAAAATCTGATATGTAAATATTTGGGCACAACTACCCTGAAAGACACCACAATGTAGTTTTATCCTTGTACCTATATGTGACATCATCAACAATGCAACAAATACAAATTCAGACTGAAATAATTGCATAGTAATGTTGACAAGCACCACAAGCAGCTTAGCTCTTGGTGACATAATTTTTCAAAATGATAAGTAACTTTTGGTAAAGTTCTAAGAAAAAAATACAGTCTTAGTTTTATTCAGCCATTTCTGAAAAATTCAGGTATATTAAAACTGGGTACAAATTAACTCTGTTTAAATTACTATGTATAAAATGACATTCAAGTCCAGGCCTATGTTTTTAAATATACAGCAGAACATAGAAAATGGTGCAGGACGGTGCATGTTGCAGAGTCATCTCACATATTGGAGTGCTAGCAGCCTTACTAGAGTACCCCCAGTTATGGCAAACAAAAAAATGCCCCTTGTTTCCAAAATATCCCTAGTGGGAAGTAAGAACCTCATTAAGAACCACTGCCCTAAATATATAGAGTGAAAAAAAAAAGGGAAGGGATTATGGGATTATATAAAAGACAGCCCTTTTGCTTCCTATTTACCACAGTTATGAATCCTAAATTCTACCCATACATCACCTCTCAACATACACCAACACACACGTGTGTGTACACACACACAAGGAAAAAAGTTGTATTTTACTTAGGGGTTAAATAAAATTCAGTTACTTTACCAGCATAAATGAGTTTATTCAGGAATAGCAGAGAATTGCAATTCAGGACAAGCAAGCTAAGGCAAATCCATAGGCAAGTGTAGAGAACAAAGGAGAGGACCACTCTTCTAAAGAGGAAAGGAGGTAGTTGGGAGGGGCTCTTATAAATGAAAAGTCCTTGAAGTGACCTGGGAGTTCAGAGTATAGTGACTTTTCATTGGCTGGGTTGTGACAGTTTGTCACTGGCTGGCTTGTTGCCCTGCAAAAAGGAAACCTTCCTTCCTCCTGTTGGGGTGGTTAAGATAGGATGGACTTGCAAGGTACATCTCTTCCAATTGGGTCTACAATTGACCAGGGTTAGGGTGTGAGTGCTCCCCCTGCTGGCGTCCTGACTCCATTTTAGTGAGGTTTCCTTTTATAATTTTCACAGGGTAAATGCTGTAAGAATATATTTTGTTCCAGTGTGCACCTGAGAATGCAGCAGTGGAATGGGAAGCAGCAGCAGCTCCAGAATTAGAGCTAGCCAGCCTCTGCTGAGAACTAGCTTGAAATCCAGAAACACCAGGCTTCGAAGGCCCACACTGGCTTTGCAGCCCCTCTCTATTCACCCTCAGCCCTGCCTTTCCGTCCCTATCTACTTTTTACTTCCAGATTCCCTGTCTCTGCTTCTCTTTTACTTCCCTCTTGGGTTTACTTTTCCCCATCAGTCACGTGACACTTGGGAGACTCCATCTGGGCAGATCATTTGTTGCAGTGGAGGTACAAAAGGAAGGACATGCTAGGTGATAACCTTCAGAAAGTATTATGGCTGGTGTTTTAGTACTATATTATCAAATTTCAGGAAGGTTAGAGCTTTAATTCTGTGTGGTAGCTGAGAGAAAACATATTTCAAATTTCAACAATTAATTCACAAACTTTTGGAACTTATTCCTGGGATGGGAACTGTCAGTTCTCTGAAGTGACTTGAAACTATTTAACAGGTTCTTCCCTGAAATCTATATACAGTTGACCCTTGAACAAGGTTAGCAGTGCAATGGAAAATCTGCATATAACTTTCAACTCCCCAAAAACTTAACTCTTTTTTTTATTAGTTTCAGAGATAGAGTTTAGTGATTCATCAGTTGCATATAACACCCAACACTCATTACATCACGTGCTCTCCTTAATGCCCATCACGCAGTTACATCATCCCCCACCCACCCACCTCCCCTCCAGCAACCTTCAGTTTGTTTCCTATGATTAAGAGTCTCTTATGGTTTGTCTCCCTCTCTGATTTCATCTTATTTTATTTTTCCTTCCCTTCCCCTATGCTCCTCTTGATTTGTTTCTTAAATTTCACATAGGAGTGAAATCTCATGATATTTGTCTTTCTCTGACTGACTTATTTCACTTAGCATAATACCCTGTAGTTCCATCCATGTCGTTGAAAAACTTAACTCTTAATACCTTACTGTTGACCACAAGCATTAGTGATGACATAAACAGTGATTAACACCTATTTTATATGTTATTTGTATTATATATTGTATTCTCACAATAAAGTGAACTGGAGAAAAGGAAATGTTATTAAGGAAAGCATAAGGAAAAGAAAATACCTTTATGGTACTATACCCTATTTATGGAAAAAAAATCCTTGTATAAATGGACCCTCACAGTTCAAACCTGTATTGTTCAACAGTCAACTGTATGTATTTTGTAATAACCCATTACTAAAATCTTACTGATTCTGATACTATTCCGGTTGGTTCTCTGGTTTTTAGAGGGTAGATGTCTGGCAATATACAAATGATCACCATCTCATCTCTAACTTCCCAGTACTTATTTCTTTCCTTTTCTTGATAAATTGCATTAGCTAGAACTTTAGAGTTGGAAATAGCAGATATATCTTGTATCCATAATAGTAGATGTCATTTTATTATTGAGTTCTTATATCTTGCTTTTTTTTCACTAAACCATAGAAGTACAGCTTTTTTAAGAAGTTAATAAAATTAAAATTTTTTTAAACACTGATTTTTTTAAATTCCCCAGTGGTCTTCATTCCCGAGTAATCAGTAAGGGTGACATTGGGGAAGGAGCCATTACTTACAGAAGGAAATTTCAATGGAGAGAAACATGAGTATCCTGTTAAGCTATTTCCATTGACACTGGAAGTCTGTGTTAATTCATACACATGGTGGGTAGGGTAAGGCCCCACTGGCCCTGCTAAATATAACACCTTCCCACTTTTCTCAGAGACTAGTGGAATGTCGCCGGCAACAGATCTTAAAGGAATTTGAAGAGCTTCATAGGCGGCTGGATGAAGAGCAGCAGATGTTGCTTTCACGACTGGAGGAGGAGGAACAAGACATTCTACAGCGCCTCCGAGAAAATGCTGCTCACCTTGGAGACAAGCGCCGGGACCTGGCCCACTTGGCTGCTGAGGTGGAGGGCAAGTGCTTACAGTCAGGCTTCGAGATGCTTAAGGTTCGACCTTTGCCCCTGTATAGCCCCTCAGATCAAGTGCAGTATAGCTTTGCACAGGCCATTCTGTCAACCTGGGATGCTCACTCTTCTGCTCTGCTTCTCTAATCCAGTTCTTTATTCCAGACATACTCAAAGGATCTTTTTCTATAGAAAGGCTTCTCTGATTTCTCCCATCCCCTTCTAATCATTTCTGTGTTCTTATGTCTTGTGAACAATTATGTGCTTAATTTGTACCAAAGAAAAAAATTCCATTTGAAAGGAGGGAAATCGAGTCTGAATTAGTGAAAAAAACTATACATTAAAAATTATGTAAATGTAGTTGCCATTATTTTTAGGTCCTGGAACTTGATTTACCTACTGCTAAAAAAAAAATACAAACCTAGTTTGAAGGACACTTGAAATTATGTATAAATAATATATTACTTTTGATATGTAAATAATGCCTCTAAAATGTTTGAAATAATTTGTTCTTTTAAGCAGATGAATGGTGTTAGCAAGGCTGTAGGAAATATGTCTCTTATTTTAGAGATCAGATTACCAACATTTGAATCAGTGAGGCTTCGTTGTACATTTATCTGCATGTTATGTATTGCTTGGTACTTATTCTTGTGTCCCTTCATGTATGTGTGTTCTGCCTTCCACATTAAACTGGGAAATCCTTGGGGGGCAGAGATTTCTCTTCTTTGTCTTCTGGACCCCAAGTATTCACAAATCAGGATTGGCACACAGTTATTAGTATTTATTAACCAGTACCAGACAGGGATAATAAACAACAACAGGAAAGTGTGATTCATTCCTATGCCACCAGTCTATACTGATCCTCAAGGAGACAGGTGTGTGGTTGGTACTTGGGGGACAGAGTAAAGAGCAGACAGTGCAAATGTCCTTTGCATTGAGCTCCCAGTGTCCTTAAGGAGCAAGACAAGGACACAAGAAACCATTTGGAAGTGATAAAAATTACCAAGCTTCGTGCTAACCAGAAGTTGAAAATAGGGATCAGGTCGAGAGATGTACTCAGATCCCTCTGGAGCTCTTCCCCTTGCATTGTGACCCTTAGTTTGCCCTATTCCTATTGTATAGATCTAGGACTTTGGGGAGGGGGGAACCTTTTGCCTGTAGGACCCTTGACTACCAGGACCAATATTGCTTTCTTTTCTCCTTCCCTCTAGGATGTCAAAAGTACCCTGGAAAAGTAAGTGATTCTTGCATCTCTTTGAGTGAGTTAGGTCTTAGCTTAGAGACCAGGAGTACAGTAAGGAGTTAGGGGAGAAGGATAGGAAAGTCACGCAGTGTCTGGGTAGGATGTGGGAGAAGATTCATTGCATCCATGAAGCCAGTTAGAGAGCAAATCATTGGGAGTAATAGTCCATTACCTTTTCCCCTTTGAGCATCAGGACTAACGTGGTAAGGAAGATACCAAGGTAATGTAGAACCAGATTCTCCCTGTGCCTGTGGGTGGAAATGTGTCCAAACAAGACAGACAAAGGAAGGGGTTGGGAGAGTGGGGAGAGTGATTACTACTTGCATGAAATATAGTCATACTCCCAGAAAGTTCTGAGACTCATTCTTAAAATAAGACTCTGTTCAGGGAGCCATATGGCTCTCCATAGATTGGCAAAAGAAAGCGGTAAGTGAGTACTTGTCTTCAGAGAGGAGGGAGAAAGTGGGAGGATGGAGAATTTTAGTTTCTCCCTAAAGAGAGGGACTATCATTCATCTAAAATAGTCTGCATACTCACTCAGCTGGAGCTTCCCCTGACCCTGCCCTTTCTTCCCCTATCTCCCTATCCCTCCTAGATGTGAGAAGGTGAAGACCATGGAGGTGACTTCAGTGTCTATAGAGCTGGAAAAGAACTTCAGCAATTTCCCCCGACAGTACTTTGCCCTAAGGAAAATCCTTAAACAGCTAATTGGTGAGTTGTTCCCAAAAGTAAACTAGCAGAGGGAATCAGCAGAGAAGAAAGTCTTTAGATCCCACTTTATCTGGGCTTAACTTATCCCATCTGTCATTTTTTGTGCCTATCCCTTTACCTGGCTTTCAGTTTCACTGTGAGTAACAGAGCTTAGGTGTCATCTACTCTTAGGTCCACACTTTTCTAAATAGGCACCCAGAGAGGTTAAATAATATGCCTAAACTTGTCCCCCCGCCCCCCCGGCCTTGAGAGTGAAAGGGAGTATCATTAATATTTACTCAAAGAAAATAGTCGTGAACCAGTTCCAGATACATGGTCACCCTATCCCTAGACCATAATGCTGTCTTGCTGTGTATCCTTCTAAACATTTTCTGTTCTTTCTGGCCCTTAGACTGTGACTTGTGCTTCTTCACATAGTGAGATGATGTCACAGGGTGGTGGAGAAGGGATCAGGCAGGAGCCTAAACCATCAGCCCTTGCAGAATCAAGAGATCATTAGCTGTTTACTTTAGGGCCAGGGTAAGAAGGGAAGCCATTGTTCCCTCCTTTCCCTTAGGTGAGACCATGGATTGAGAAAGTTAACCAAACCCCACTGTGTTCTGGGGACCTTTAAGGAAGCAGGCTCTGTAAAGGCAGGCTGGAAGAGTGAGGCAGGGGCATTTAGCTATTCCCATCCTCATCTAGCTCCCCACTCTGGCTTCTCCCGCCAGCGGATGTGACCCTGGACCCAGAGACTGCTCACCCTAACCTAGTCCTGTCAGAAGATCGTAAGAGCGTCAAGTTTGTGGAGACAAGACTCCGGGATCTCCCTGACACACCACGGCGGTTCACCTTCTACCCTTGTGTCCTGGCTACTGAGGGCTTCACCTCAGGCCGACACTACTGGGAGGTGGAGGTGGGTGATAAGACCCACTGGGCAGTGGGCGTGTGCCGGGACTCCGTGAGCCGAAAGGGCGAGCTGACTCCACTCCCTGAGACTGGCTACTGGCGGGTGCGGCTGTGGAATGGGGACAAATATGCAGCCACCACCACGCCTTTTACCCCTTTGCACATCAAGGTGAAACCCAAGCGGGTGGGCATATTCCTAGACTATGAGGCCGGCACACTGTCTTTTTACAATGTCACAGACCGCTCTCATATCTACACTTTTACTGATACTTTTACTGAGAAACTTTGGCCCCTCTTCTATCCAGGCATCCGGGCTGGTCGGAAGAATGCTGCACCACTTACCATCAGGCCCCCAACAGATTGGGAGTGACAGGTAGGGATGTGGGAATAATTGGGGTGAGTCAGGGTCAAGAGCTATGGGCCTTCCTTCCTGTGACCTGCTGGAACGTCTTCGTGTCTGCCTGGTTCCAGTCCTGCACTGTCTAGGAGAGGCATCTTGGTTTCTAGAATGGTTTATATGGAGGAGTAGATAGGACTGGTCTGGGATGAGAGCACAGCTGTGTCTCCCTTCTGTCAGGGTGGGGAGCTAGTTCCCAGGGGTTGTCTCCCCTGAAGTCCATCAGGTTTTTCTATTGCACATGGATAGGTTGGGAAGGAAGGAGAGGCTTTTCCGGAAACAGAAAGTCTGTGGGAGGGTCTGACTTGCTCAAAACCAGAAGAGGAAACAGAAACCCCTGTACATCCTTTTAGGGGGTTCTTTGACCCAGAATGGTCTTATTTCTTGAGGAAGATCAGAGGGGTCTGTGTACCTCTAGACTAAAATAAAGATGAATGATAGTTGCTCTTATGGGTCTAGAAGTTAAGGAGTTTTTTTTGTTTGTTTGTTTGTTTTTGAGGGCAGAGATTGAGCATCAAGATTAGAAAGAAAGTTGGGAAAGGGGCTAAAGGAACAGATTCCTAGTGACCAATGAAGGGGAAAGGGGTTTCTTTGGTCTTCCATTCCCAGAGTAAGTTGCCATTATGAGTAGGATTGGCCAGAGGTAGGAATGTGGGGAGGAAAGGGTGAGAAGAAAGGAGAGGAGAAATCGGGTCCCTCTCTCAGCCTTCAGCAAAGCTGGCTTAGTGCCTGCCTCCTTTGAGTTGGTTGTCTCTAAGATGTCGGTCAGTCACCTTTCTCCTGCAGAGATGAGGTACCAGAGACCCCTCAAGACACATCTACCCTTTCACTGCTTTCCCAAGGGAACCTGGAAAGGACAGTCAGGTATTAGAGGAAAGAGAAAGGTTTTTCTATCCAAAGCCCTGGCCTTAAAGAATGTTACTAAGTAGCTGCTCCCAAGTTGTCAGCCTTGTTCCTTGGCTAAGGTGTCCAAGCCAAAAAGGGAGAAAGGAAATAGAGTCTTCCTCACCCTGAGGACAGGGTAGAAGAGAGGGTGTGTAGAGGGAAGGGTAAGATAGGCAACTTCCTTTAGCCTGTGTGCATATGGCCTGGAACTAGTGTTCACAGGAGCCAGTCTTTTGCTTATTTGTTGCCATCCTTCACCTTTTGCCATTTCCCCTATCAGAGAATGTAAATCATTTTAACATTAGGCCAAAATAAACAACTTGTAGGGTACATATGTTGTCAAAAAAGGTTAAAGCTATGCATGCCAAACCGAACTAAAATGATTTGGAATATTTGCTATTTGGGTGATCAGGGGTTCACAGAAGATTGGGACAACAAACTGCAGTTTATTGAGGGTGTTTCAATTCCTCCTACCACCTCAACAGGACTTTGTCCAGACTCTCCTCTTACCTTTGTGCCTTGACTGTGGTTCTTTGTGGCAAGATGCTTTGGTTGGTAAAACAATATGGAACAAAGGATCCACTGAAGTGATCTCTGTGTTGTGTGGTAATTTGACGATGGCCTTGTGTTGATGTGTAAGAATCACTGGTGTTAAGAATGCATGATCCTGGGGTTTGCCCTCAGTGATTAATCAAGGTCTGGGGTGGGCCTGGATGTCTACATTTTAAACATACTCCTCATTTGAATTTAGGGATCCTTGTGAAATTAATCCCAGAGGAGGTTTTGGCCATTTATTCTGAGCTGGAGGCCTGGTTTCCTGCATGGCCTGTTGGGGTTTGAGAAGGGAGAGAGGCCTTATTCTCTCCTTAATGCTACCCTTTCCCTGTCTCAAGGTTCATTCATGTTCTGCCGCTCCAGCTCACATCCCTCTACTTCTGACTTCAGGAACTGGTGGTCATTAACTATGAGGCAGAAGTAAACACAGGATGTCAAACAGAACAAACAGGAGACAGGTCAGAGTAAGGGATGTGAAGTATATGATTGGAATAGGGGAGGTGGGGGAGGGGTGAGTTTCAGGAGCAGGAGATGTCAAAAGTTTCTGTGCTCCAGTACCTAAGACTAGAAGTTAGCTAGGATCACCTACTGTGTGTCCAGCACTGCATAATAGGAAGTGGGGTGGTTTTTTTTTTTTTTTTGGTAAGTGGAAAAGAATGGGAATAAGCTGTGCTTCCTTCCTTTGACCACCCTCATGATCCTTTCCAATTTCACTCCCACTGGTACCAGTGCTTTTTTTGAATGTATAACTTCTGTTCCTTCAGTCTGTAGATCTTTCAGGCATCTGCCTTTGGCTTCAGGAGCGTAGGGCAGAAGTTCTAGCTGGGTATAAATTGCACATAAGCATCTCCCCAACCTATCTGCATAAAGAGACCAGTCTTGTGTCCTAAAAATGTTTTGCAGTTTAAGATCTTCTCCTGTTCACTAGACTTTCCTACCTAGTATAACTGACCATGGGCTTGAGGAAGACTAGAAGGTAGCCAAAACTCAGAAAGGGACCCTGGACTTGGGTTGCAGGGGTGGGTGTGGGTTTACAAATAACTGGGGTCCCTGAGGCCGCAGGGTGGCGCCGGAGTAAGGATCGCGGAGAGAGCCTCGCGGGCCCAGGAACTACACTTCCCAGGAGGCCGTGCGCGGGCGCCTGAGGCGGGGCTATCGGAGGGGCGGGACCTGCGGACTGTCGTGTGTGAGGGACTCGCGCGGCGCAGATGGCTGGGCCGGTGAAGGACCGCGAGGCCTTCCAGAGGCTCAGCTTCCTGTACCAGGTGAGTCCGCGTCTCGGGGCGTACGGGGAGGCGGCCGGATGTGGCCGGCCACGAAGTAATGGTTTCCTTCTCCCAGGCCGCCCACTGTGTCCTTGCGCAGGACCCCACGAACCAGGCGCTGGCGAGGTTTTACTGCCACACGGAGAGGACCATCGCAAAGCGGCTGGTCTTGCGGCGGTGAGACGCTCAGGGAACCTGGCGGCGGGCGCGAAGCATGGGAGAGGGAGCGCGGGCGCTCGGACCACCATCCCCTTCCGTCCGCAGGGACCCCTCGGTGAAGAGGACCCTCTGTCGTGGCTGCTCTTCCCTCCTCATCCCGGGCCTCACCTGCACCCAGCGCCAGAGACGTGAGTGCTCCTAATGATGTGGGGGTGATTGAGGAGCACCAGTGGGCTGGGGAGGAGACCCCCTTCCTCGCTTTAGATGGGCGTCGGGCGTGGGATTTACAGCAGCCGGCTCTTTCCAGCTCTGGGTTGAATTGCTAACTTAACTTGGACCAACTAAGGAAAGGCAGTAGGGAATGATGTTGCCATAAGACATAACCCACCCATACATACTAATAGATGTTATTTTGTATGGTGGAGGACAGGATTCACATCACCATTCGTTCATTCATTCGACAAATATTTTTCTGAGATGAGTCAAGTATTGTACAAGATCCATTATTCTCACTGAAATTATAGTCTGATAGGACAGACTAAGAAACAAGATAGTGTAGAAAAATGCTTTACTTGAGGAAGTAAAATGCTAAATTACTTATACTAGTAGTCGTGCGGTTCATGATAAGCAAAAGGAGTGAGAAATGGAAATTCTAGGCATGTGTGAGGACTCTGAGACAGGAGAGCTTGTGGTGCTGTCAAGGAGACCAGAGTTCAGGAACCTGGAGTTTGAGATAGGCAAGGGCAAAAAAACATGAGGCTGAAGAAGGAAACAGGGCAGATCTTGAAGAGGCTTGTTAAGGAGTTCGGACTTTATCTTAAGGGATACCAAGAAATTGACAGACTTTAAGCAGAGGTAAGATGCCTCAAATTTGTATTCAAACTTGGGGAGTGTTGGAATTCTTACTGAGAAACAGTGGAGGCAAAACTGGGTGCAGGAGACCTTTTCTTCTCCTAAACCTGGGCACTTCCCTCCTCCTCCCCACTTTCATCCAGGCTGCAGGGGACAGCGCTGGACAGTACAGACTTGCCTAACATGCCAACGCAGCCAGCGTTTCCTCAATGATCCTGATCATCTACTCTGGGGAGACCGGCCTGAGGCCCAGCTGGGGAGCCAAGCAGGTGACAGGTTTGTAGAGAAAAATTGGGGATGCCCCAGGAAGATAGGCTTGATAGGGGGCATAGAGGTGAAAAGAACACACAGGTGGATTCTGGATTGGTGTGAGAGGTGCTACAATCTTAAAAAACTCAAATTCCTATCTACCCAGATCTCAAACCACCACAGCCCCTGCCAAATGCAGCTCACCCCATTCCAGCCCACCTCCCTGAGGAGAAAGTGTAGCCTCAGAGCTCCAGTCACCAGTGATGGATTCACCCTATCTTTCAAATAAAGTATAATTGTGTTTCACTTTGTGTGCTTCTGTGAGTATTTCAGCTTTTTATTCTATTTTCCTCTGTTTCAGTTTGTATTTTTCTGTCACTGGCTAAACTCTCTGTCTTTACCCATGCTCATATTCCTACCATTAAGGGAGATCCTGATTTCCATAGACCACTTGACCCCACTAAGCAGCTTCCATTTCCAGGGCCCTGACCCCAGTGCTCCTTCATCCCTGCTTCCTCAGTACAGTGCCACATTTGGAACTCATGGTCCAGGATTGTCTGTAAGAGCTTGAGCCTTCATAGAGCATTTTTTATTTAGGTAGCCCTAACTGTTGACTAAAGGGCTAGACAGACTACTGATACCACTGGTGGTGTTTTTATTTATTTATTTTTTTAAAAGATATTTATTTATTTATTTACTTATGTATCAGAGAGAGTGTGTGAGAGAGAGCACAAGTGGGGGCAGAGGGAGAGGGAGAAGCAGACTCCCTGCTGAGCAGGGAGCCCAACTTGGGGCTCGATCCCAGTACTCTGGGATCATGACCTGA